AATATGTATGAACTGTTTCCCATGGTTAATTTTTCTTGCTACAACAATTATAACAATTGCCTACACAATGTAAAATCAGTTGGCATAAGGCTATATAAAAATTGTGTCATACCAGTGTAAGTATGAGCATATAGAATAATTGAACAAAATAATAATTATAGAGGGACAAAGAAAAGATAATTATTTAGCATGTTATCAGTAGAGCATATCAAATTAGAATGGAAAAGAGCTGCTATTCAGTCAAGTATATTAGAATAAATACATATATAATAAACTATTTTTAAAAATAAATAAATAAGCTTTAAAAATTAAAAAATAAAATCAAGGGCATTCCTCGGAAGGAATGGTATCATGAAAGTTGTTATAATGACATGTGAGAAAACTGATGAAGCTGGAGACACTAAGCCCTTAAATTCTGAAGAGACTTCTTTGCAAGTAAAAGTAATCTCCATGGGAGATTAACCCTGCATTGCCTAAAGAAACTGCATTAGCTTCCCCTGAGGCAAATTTTCCTTACTATCCACTCCCACCACCCTTCGTGTATTACCTATAATTAGACTGAAATCCCAGAAGACCCCTGAAGATGAGGAGAGGTTGATTCCTCTTGAAGAAAGACCCCAATGCACTACCAACAATGTATGCTGTTAACCTTTATCCCAGTCACCCCTAAAAAAGACCTATAGCCTTTTACCAAAAAGACTGCAATAAGGAAAATGAAACAATCAGAATTTCAGGGACTACTGGACACTGGCTTTGAAGTGACACTAATTTCAAGAGACCAAAAATATCACTGTGATCTACAATCAAAGTAGAAGTTAAGGAAGCAGCATGATCAGCCCTTCCTTTTGAAAATGATAACTCTTTGTGTCTGATTTTTACTGCTCCACACAGATTTTAGTTTAATCTCAAATTACACAGTCCTAGAAAGAATGACCATAAGATATTGCTTGATAATTTTGGTGCCTCACTGTTTTGTTTCCTAAGTTGTTTGACTTTTGTTATTGTTGTTTCTAATTTTCTTATACATTTTTTAGAAACATATGTTTAATATCTACATTAAAAAAGACTGGTGTTTACACAGTTCCCTCATCTCCAGGAAGACAGTGTTATATTATCTTATTTCCGGAGTCTTTTGCAGTTCTAAACTACTATAAGTATAAATTGATAAATACATTTTTAACTCACTATTTAGTGTATTATATTATTATTTCTATAGGCCATCCAACCTTTCAGCTAGTTCAGTTCACCAAAAAAAAATGTGAGGTTAAATGACACAGTTGACTGGATTTTTCAATTTTCACTTTTCAACAGGTTGTATTTATATCATGCTGACACACTAAAAAGAAAAATCAGAAAAAAATAATTATGTCAGGTGAAAAAGTACTGGTCACACCAATTATATATATAACTATATATAATAGATATAATTATATAAGATATGTTTATATGCAATTGTATATATGCATATGTATATATAACTATATATATAAAATATCTACCTCAGTCTTTTATCTAACTTTATAATATCTTTAATGTAAAAGTAATATGTGTTAATGGAAGACAAATTTGAAAATACAGATAAGCAAAAGAAACCTAAGAAAAACTTATTTTAATTCCAACAACCAGGGATAAACACTTTTTTTAAAAAATAGTTTATTGTCAAGTTGGTTTCCATATAACACCCAGTGCTCATCCCCACAAGTGTCCTCCTCCATGCCCATCATCCCCCTTCTCCTCCCCCACCCCCATCAGCCCTCAATTTGTTCTCAGCATTCAAGAGTCTCTCATGGTTTGCCTCCCTCCCTTTCCCCCACTATTTTTCCCCTTCTTCTCTCCCATGTTCCTCCCTTAAGTTCCTCCTAATCCTCCTATACATGCAAAAATATGGTATCTGTCTTTCTCTGCCTGACTTATTTGGCTCAGCATAACACCCTCAAGTTCCATCCATGTTGCTGCACATGGCCAGATTTCATTCTTTCTCCTTGCCACGTAGTATTCCATCATATAAGTAAACCACATCTTCTCGATTCATTCATCCGTTGATGGATACTTAGGCTCTTTCTATGTTTTGGCTATTGTTGAGAGTGCTGCTATGAACATTGGGGTACATGTGCCCCTATTCATCAGCATTCCTGTAGGGGATAAACATTTTTTATACTATATTTTCTCTAATCTTTCTCTCTCCTTTCCTCCTCACCTCTGGCATATGATACATGCAATTTTGTGTTCTGGTTAATAATCTCAAAATTATATTATGGTGTTTAAATGTAAATAAAATGAGATGCCATCCTTATATGTCTCTTTCATAAAGTCTTTTGATTTGATATACCATTATTTAACCAACCTAATTTTTATATTTTAGTTACATCAATTTTGATTTTTAGTTAGTCCCAAAATAGCTCTAATGTATATTTTGAGAGAGCTGAAAAAAGATTCTGATGTGTATCTCTTGGTTTTAAACTACCATTTTAGTCTACATAGAATACATTTAAGTATAAAACATGGAATGTATATATATTAATATGTGCCCCTATGCATCAGCACTCCTGTATCCCGTGGGTAAATTCCTAGCAGTGCTATTGCTGGTAATGCCCTTGATTTTAAAAGTACACATGCTACAAGTCAAATAATTGAATTTGCACTTCAATTCATCCCCTAACAAAATGGGGCTGTGGGTTTGGTTTTCAGAAGTCTTACTTTGGCCATTACTGGAGATGAGAGTCTCTTTTATAGGACAAATATAGAAGCTTTCAGGTCATTTATGTGGCCCTTGAGGTATAAATTTAAGTCCTTGAGATCATCCTTTCCTTTCCTTACTTTGTCCAGGGACATTTGGAAATTGACAGAAATGTTGGAGATGTCATATACATGGCCATCCAGATCCTTGATTCTTATAATTGTTTAGGAATATTAAATGGTGATATTTTGTTTTTCTTTATTGCCACATCATGACAGAGACTAACAGTGCTCTCTTTACTACTGTAAATACCATTAGAGTCTGTTATCAAATTAGATAGCTGATTTTAGAAAATCCAGAGAAAAATATGTTTCTCTAAAGCAATTTCAGGTAACAAAATCTGTATTAGTAAGATTCTCCAGAGAAACAGAAGTGTTATAATTCTATCTCTATCCATATTTATATCTATATATCTATATATATATTTATATTCACATCATCTATATCTAGTCTATCTATATGGAGAGAGAGGGAGAGAGAAAGGGAGATTTATTATGAGAAATTGGCATACACAGTTATAGAGAATGAGAAGTCCCATCTTCTGTCATATGCAAGCTGAAAACATAAGAACATTGGTTGAATAATTCAGTCCACATCTAAGCAACTAAGAATCAGGGGATCCAATGGCATATTCCCAGTCTGAAGGCAGGAGAAGATGAGACAAGATGTCCCAACTCAAACAGTGACAGAGGATAAAGAAACAAATCCTCCTTCCTCTACTTGTGTGTATTAAAGCCCTCTATGGATTGTTTGATGCCCATCCACATTGGGGTTGCCAATCAACTTTACTGAGTCCATAGATTCAAATGTAAATCTCATCCAGAAACACTATCACAGACACATCCATAGATAGTAACCTGTGCATCCTATGGCCAGTCATGTAAACACATAAAATTAACCATCACAAGTCCACCCTTTTCAACATGGCACTCATATACATCCCTTTAAACTAGACTTATTCTCCAAATAAAGACAATAACAATGTCAAAATTCCACCTAACAGGATTTGATTATACTGCATACAAATGAAAACGCACTAACACCTTCCCCAGAAGTGGAGGTAAAGTCCTTGAAGGATGTTTACTCTTTTCCTTGATATCTTATAACTTAATACTATGATATAAAATTAACAATATGTAAATGCTGTGATATAAAAACAGTATATTTTATGTTATATAAGTGGATAAGCAAGGAAAGACAACAAATACATGTATACACCATAGCAAAATAAGGGTTAAGCATCATAATAATTACAATTCTCATTTCTGTAAGTCATGATGTGGTTATAGCCAGTATTTTAATTACCTTCCTCTGCTATGCATCTTGTATTTCATTTTCCTTCAAAAATCACCTCATTTGGTTATGGTTCTTTACCTGCTGGGCTAACCCAAACTTTCACCTTTCAGGTGTTTGAACCGTTAGTAATCCTGCTTAGATGGAATTGTTTTAGTTTTCCATTGACCTAAATCACAGGGCACGGTAGTACTAGAAAATGCCCTAAGAGATCTTCTGTATTCCTCAGACACTTTTCTTTACCTCAGGTGTGGAGTAGCCATGTAATTTCCCCTTAGTAGTCAAGATCAATCACTCAACCAACACTATAACTCCTTTATTTGCCTTTTGATTCAGAGGCATGAGAAGTCCAACAAAGCTATTATAAGTGGGAATTAACTTATAGGAGGTATTTTAAATAATCAAACTCAGAGAAACATATAATATAATGGTGATTTCCAGGGTCTGGGGACTGTATATATTGGAAAATGCTATGTAACAAGTATAAAGTTCTAGTTATACAAAAAGATTATGTTCTAGAGATCTGCTGTACAGCATAGTGCCTATATTTAACAATATTGTATCATACACTTAAAAATTTAAGAATATAGATATAATGTTAAGTGTCCTTAATACAATAAAATAAAATAAACTTTTAACCATTAATTGAGGAAACAAAATTATATAACTGCTATTTATAAATAGTAAATGATTTTTAAATATGTTCTATTGTAGAGTGAGTTTTTTTAATTTTTCATGTTTACATTTTAATAAAATTCTAGCTTGAGATTATCACTCATGGTGTTACAGAATACCTTTAAGCAACATTCCACATGATAAATTCCTTCTTAAATTTAGTTACAAGAAATTATTGTGTCTGAGTTTCTGTTTCAATGTGGTAATATGAGGTTTCTGGTTTCACCTTCTACCATAGACAAACAGAATCAGTAGCATCATACAGAACAGTTACCTTTAAGAATACCATCCACACGTGCTCGCTTCGGCAGCACATATACTAAAATTGGAATGATACAGAGAAGATTAGCATGGCCCCTGCGCAAGAATACTATCCACACTAGCTGAGTAACTCTAGCTAGGTGAACTAACAAATGTTTACATTCAATTGGGTGGTAGAAATTGAGATGCAATCTTGGCAGAAAGCCTACCCACAAGACAGTGACATACACTTGGGAGGAAAGTCACAATTCTCAGCTTCTCCCCAAGGAGTGAAAATGATTGGCCAAAACATCTAGCAACCCATATTTTGAGACATCCACCTGAGAGAGAGGCCTCCCAAACATGTAGCTCTGAAAGCCAATGGGGCTTGTGTCCATGAGACACACAGAGCTACAATTAACAAAGAAACAGTTCTCAATGGTCTAATAGGCCTCACCATGACTATCCTATCACATCCCAACCCAGCACACACTCGGGAGACTTAAATAGTTTTTATATGCAAGAGGCATATCAGCATATCTTAAAAGCTTCAGCTTGATGGTCAGGGTTCTTATTTGGGATACACTTAAGGGCCAATTGCAATGCTCTCCAAAGACTGGTAAGGTCAGTAGATGCCATCTCTGAGCTCTTCCTCTGTACCACACCAGGTTACTGGTGTCTCCATAAAAGGAGCTTGTACATATGTCTGGTTTCCTGGATTTTAAGTGTGCTGCCCAGAGGACATATCCCTTGATATACAGGTTCTGATAGCCAATGTGACATGTGCTCATGTGTTTAACTGGATGATAGCAAAAAACTATTTGTAACAGCTATCTCTCCAGGGCTCAGTGAAGAATACAGAAATCATCATCTCCCAATCATCCCCTGAAGGAAGTATATGTGTACTTTAAAATCCACTACCTGAGGTGTCTGGCTTTCAACCACCCTGCATTAGGTACTGACTGAGATCCTCTCCTTTGGGACACTGACAAGTCTTGACATATTTTCAATACTGGGAGCCACTAAAAACAAAGCAATCTGCTTGGACAATCACAAAGGTTTGAGACACAACCAATAATTAGGACAGGTGTCGCAGACTTTGACTCTTGAGTTTTCTCTTGTCCAGCAAGAAGGCAGACACAGAATTGAATACAAGAGAGGCTAATGTCTGGGAGGAGACAAGAGCCCTGAGTAAGGGTCCTTGCTCTATATTTATTAGGATCAGAAGGTCAAAACGTGATGGATGTGTAGAGAGAGACAATGAAACAGTGATCATTAACTCACTCGTGTGAGAGAAAGGGGATTTTGAAGATATGTGGTGTTAGGGGTTTGGGTCAATACAAAATAAAATCTTACTACTAAACAGATGGCTGTTAATGACAGGCACCAGGCGCTGTGTCTGTTTATTTTAACTTGCAAGGGGGATAAGACAGAACATGCTACCTCAGGGGCGCCTGGGTGGCTTAGTCGGTTAAGAGTCCGACTTTCGCTTAGGTCATGATCTCGCGGTTCATGGGTTCGAGCCCTGCGTCAGGCTCTGTGCTGACTGCCAGCTCAGAGCCTGGAGCCTATTTCAGAGTCTGTGTCTCCCTCTCTCTCTGACCCTCCCCTGCTCACGCTCTCTCTCTCTCTCTCTCCTAGAAATAAAATAAAAATATTAAAAAAAAAAAAAGAATGCTAAAGAACATGCTACCTCAGTCCTCAGTGTCAACAAGGCTTTTTTTTTTTTTTTTTTGCTAATTAGCTCCAGGCAATTTCACCATGCTACAGCTGTCTATCACCCTATTTACCTGATAACCTATTCTCAATCGCTTCCTTCCTGTGGAAGCAGCTTTCCACACTATGCTTTTGTTCTATGCTATGGGCATTTTAGCTTTGGTTACCTATTCTCTGACACTTTTGTCCTGTTGCCACTTTCTGCTCTAAGCCTTGTTAACCCATTGGTGCAAGCTCAGGGAATTCCTAAATTTATTCCCTACAGGCAGGGTTGAATAATAAGGTTTAACTTGTATACTTGACTACTCCTTTAAGACTAGGAGAGGTGGCTGTTTTATCTAATGCACAGAAGGCAACACAGAGAGTCAAGAAAAATGAAGGAAACAAAGGATTTTATTTCAAGTGGAAGAATAAGATAAAAACCTCAGAGAAAGACCATAATGAAATGGAGATAAGAGATTTAACTGATAAAGAGTTCAACATACTGGTCATAAAGGTGGTTACCAATGTCAGGAAAACAGTGGATAAACAAGATGGGGATTTAAAAAAAAAAGATGGAAAATCTAAAGAAGTAGTATAAAACAGAAGTTATAGAATTGAAGAATACAATAACTGAACTAAAAATTTCAGGTTTTTAAAAACTTTATTTATTTACTTTAGAGAGAGAAAGAGAGAGGAGGGGCAGAGAGAGAAGGAGAGAGAAAATCCTAAGTAGGCTCTGTGTGGGATGTGGTTCTTGAACTCACAAACCATGAGATCATGACTAGAGCTGAAACCAAGAGTGGATGCTTAACTGACTGAGACACACAGGCACCCCAAAAAATTCCATTTTAATAGCATACCTCATGAAGGAGAAGAAAGGATCAGCAAACTCAAAGATATGGTAGTGGAATTCATCCACTCAAAGGAGCAAAAAACAAACAAATGAAAGAGTGAAGACAGCTTATGGGGCTTACGAGACAACATGAAGCAGATAAATATTCACCTTATAGGGGTCCTAGAGGGAGAAAAAATAGAGAATGAGGCAGAAAGCTTATTTGACGAAATAATAGCTGAAAACTTCCTTAATCTGGAAGGAGACAGATATATATGTCCAAGAAGCCATAGATTCCAAATCAGATGAGTGATTAGAGACCAACTCTGAGACAAATTATGATTGAATTGTCAAAAGCTAAAGAAAAAGAATCTTAAAAGTAGAAAGAAAAAACAAGTTGTTACATACAAGGGAACCCCCATAAGACAACTAGCAGATGTTTCAGCAGAAACTTTGAAAGGGTACATTCTATATTCAGTGTTAAAAGAAAAAAAATTGCCAACCAGGAATATTTTACCCAGCAAAGTTGCCCTTCAGAAACTAAGAAAAGATAAATATATTTCCAAACAAAAGCTGAAGAATTTCATCATCACTAGTCCAGCGTTACAAGAAATGTTTTTAAGAGTATGTATGTATGTATGTATGTATGTATTTTAGAAAGAGAGATTGAGCATGAGCAGGGGAAAGGGGCAGAGGGAGAGAGAGAAAATCTTAAGCAGGCTCCACACTCAGCACTCAGTGCAGAGCCTAAAACAGGGCTCAATTCCACCACCCTGGGATCATGACCTGAGCCAAAATAAAGAGTTGTATGGTTAACCAACTGAGCCACCATGTCATTCCCAGCCTTACAAGAAATGTTAAAAGAACTTTTTTAAGCTGAAATGAAAGAACATTGATTAGCAATAGGAAAACTTGAAAGTATAAACCTCATTTGCAAAATTAATATATAATTAAATTCAGAATAATCTAGTTGTAATGGTAAGTTAATCGTTTATAAATCTAGTATGAAAATTAAAAGACAAAATTAGTAGAAGTACCTATAATACTTTGTTAATGCATACAAAAGCTAAGCAGATGTAAATTATGACATCCAAAATATAAAACATTATGGGAGAGTAAAAATGTAGAGCTTTATAATGCATTCAAATTTAAGTTGTTATTAGAATTTTTTTAAAAATTGTTAAAACTATGTTTTATGTAAGCTTCATGGTATGTAAAACACAAAAACTTTCAGAAGGTAAACAAAAAGGAAAGAAATATAAGCATACCATTAGAGAAAATTATAAAATCACAAAGTAAAAGAACAACAGAAGATAGGAGCAAATGAGTTACAAAAAATCCAGAAGATAATTAACAAAATGATAATAGTAAATCCATACACATCAATAATTATTTTAAGTGTAAATGCACTGAATTATCTAAAGAAAAGCCAAAATAAAACCAAAAATAAATAAATAAACAAGACCCAGATATATGTTGCCTACAAGAGAATCAACCTAGATGTAAGGACACACACACTGAAACTGAAGGGATAGAAAGAGATATTTCATGTAAGTGGAAATAAAAAAAAAAAAGTAAAGGTAGGTATACTTAGGCAAAAAACAAACTTTAAAACAAAGACAGTAATGAGATGCAAAGAAGATTACATAATGATAAACAGGGCACTCTAACAAGAGGGCATAACATTTATAAATATTTATGCACCCAACATAGATGAACTTAAATATATAAAGCAAATTTTAACAGAACTAAAGGGAGAAATAGACAATACAATAATAGGCAGAGGCTTAATTAGTCCACTTTCATCAGTAGATAGATCGTTCAGATAAAAGATCAACACAGAAACATTGGAATTAAACTACATGATACACCAGATGGACTTAATAGACATTTATAGAATGTCCCATCCAAATGCAGCAGAGTACATATTCTTCTCAAGTGATCATAGTACATTTTCCAGAATAGATAATGTTAGGCCACAAAATAAATTTTATTAATTTGAGAAAATTGAAATAATATCAAGCATGTTTTCTGAACACAGTGGTATGAAAGTAGAATTAAATTATAAGAAAAAAACTGAAAAATTCACAAATACATTGAGATTGAATAATATGCTACTCAACAGCCAATGTTTCAAAGAAGAAGTCAAAGAGAAATTTTAAAAATGTTCAGACAAATAAAAATGAAAACATAATGTACCAAAATTTATAAAAGACATAAAAAGCAGTTCTAAGAAGGGAGTTCCTGTAATAAACACTTACATTAAGAAAAAGAAAAGAAAGATCCCAAATAAACAACTTAACTTTATTCTGCAAGGATCTGGGAAATAGAGGATAAACAAAGCTAAAAGTTAGAAGAAGGATGGGCATAAGAAAAAACAGGGTGGAAACAAATGAAATGAAACCAGAAAAAAACCCAATATAAAATATCAATGAAATTAAAAACTTGCTTTTCAAAAAAAAGTAAACATAAGCAAAATTGAAAAACCTGTATCTTGACTCCCCAAGAGAAGAGGAGGAAGATTCAAAATTAGAAATTAAAAAGACATTACATTTGATCACTTAAATACAAAGGATCTTAAGAAACTACTATGAAGAAGTATTCACCAATAAATTGGACAATCAAGAATAAAT